CCACAGCACGCGGCGAATATGTGCATTAACCACATTACCAGTTATGCACTGAAGGACACAGGTCTCGGAATATTTTCGCCATCGCCATCAAATTTCTTTTACTGAGCATGCGAGGATGACAGGCCACCAGTTCCGCGCCGGAGATGACGTCTCCTACCGTCCTAGGGAATTATGTGCACGTTCACCATAAAATGATTGGAAAAATGTCGTGCTACTTAAATTGTCATTTTTCCTCGACGTACCAGGTAGTGCGGGACTGAATTGGGATCCGTGGTGCAGAGACCGAAATTTGCCAACGAACAGACCGACTTAAAATTGTTGTTCGCTAACGGAAACGTACAGCGAATGGAAGGCGTCTTGTCGAGCTTTCTTCAAGCAGTGCCCATTCTGCACGGTTATCGGTTCGATCAGTCAGTGGCGTTGCTACCCAAAATAGCGAAGATGAGCTTGTTCCTGCTGAAATATTGGTTTCCAGGACTAGAATAATTTGCTTGCTTCAGCTTTCAGATTGTGTCTCCGGTTTATTTCGGGGGTATGAAGGATCATCATATCAAGCCACATTAAGTCCCCGAAATTTTCCAGAGCTTATGTTCGAAATCTCCCTGTCCTAGGAAATCTCTTCTCTGTGCCAGTGATGAAAAATTTACTGTGATGTTTATTTTCTGAATAAAAATCCCTGCAAAATAATTCTGGCGCATTAAAATGTTTATTATGTCCCAGGTAATTACAGAATTCATACCAAGGTGTGATAAAGTCGCGGCCATTAACGACTCGGAATCGGACTGACAAGTCATCATCTCATCAATTACGACCCCAGCGGTGGTTGCGAGAGCCGTTAATTACAGTGCGCATATGGTCCTACGGCAGCCACGTGCTAAAAATATTGCACTCATCGTGCCCCCATTACCCTTATCTGCGACTATCTCTGATGATGGTTTTTAGTAAGAATCCGAAACGTCGGGCCACTATATTTCTTGTTCCAGTGGTCACATCTTCGTTTTCTGAATAGGCGAATTATGTGAAAAAAAATAAATGAGGGTCGAGTGATGCGTTACTCTAGCAGTTTATTAGGGTTGGACAACATGTTACAGTCATTGAGCAAGTTTCACAGCTGCTTACTCCTAAAAGTAGTAGACTGGAATCCAGCATGAATCAGCGGAGTAGAAACACCGGTGTCAAGACAGAGTCAAGTGGGCCGAGGCGGAGAAGGACGCAGGTGATTGGCGTGGCCGGAGCCGCACCTAGGCGTGCCACCACAACCCAACAGAGGCCAGTGCGACGAGGATGACCACCTGTATACCCAGCGGGAGCGCGAGCGCATCTACCGACAGGGAATCAGGCGTCAGCGAACTGCCAGCGCATCGCAGGCTGCGAGGGCCATGGTTTGCTGATACTGGCATAGCACACGCCTTCAGACCTTTTTGACCGCACACATATAGCAATACACGCATAGGCGCTAGCATCAGCGCGAACATATGCACAAACTCGGACTGGCAACAGCAACAGCAACAGCCCAACACACACATACACGAAGACAGAAGGGTTACTGCCACCAGTCTGACGCCCAGCATCCCTCCAGGACTGCGTGAGCAGTAAGGAGACGATGTCATTACTGTCACTCAAAAAATAAAAGTGTCCTTAGTTCCTGCGTGCGCCAGTTTAGATTTCACTGAAATATTCCCAAGATACGCGTGGAGGTGATCTCATCCAGTCGCTAATAGATGACTCAATGTAAATTGGCGCAAACTTTAGTCAACCAAAGAACGTTTTGCTAGAAGGGATTGCAACGTACCTGTTTTCACCCAGCTTTGAGCTGGAGAAACAATCATAAACACGTGCAACAAGAGCCCTTTTTCCTTTTCAAATAACATATCACTACTCAATACTTAAAGTTGGCGGGGCATACAGTACCAAGCATTTCTCATGAAAAGTCATCGGTCTCGACGGACACCTGATTTCACGCCCCCAAGTTGCAGTTTTGGACAAACAACTACGTTGGAGAAACTGGAAGACTGCTCCGGACGCAAATTGCCGAACACGCAGCAGCGGTACGGAGAAATGACGTCAACTTTCATGTCGCGGCCCATTCGACGAGACCCGGCAACACATTCAAGTTCAATGAGGCCGAAATTCTCGCGAGAGGGGATAATCGCGTGAGCCGCGAGTTGTTTGAGTCATGGTTCACGAGACCTCTGTTTGTCAACAAGTGCAACGAAATCCCCACTCCATACTCCGTGCTGAGGCATGGGCTGGCCAAAGTAATTGACCACTCGGGGAGTGCGCAAGCCGGTGAGCCAGATGGCCGAGCAATCATCACGCCGGCATCCAACACGGGTGATGAGAGTTCAGCAATTAACAACTTGCACGCCAGCCATCAAGCAATTAATGCACCAGCGGGCAGCAATCCTTGATGAAGGGGAGCACGGTTAATTGCTGTAGGCACGCGGTAGCATAGCGACTGTATCCTATAAACAATGCAGCTTCCTGTGCACGAGTCACCCTTTTCTGCCACTGTCTCTGATGCTGGATTCAAGTGAGAATCCGAGAGGTCAGGCGAATAAAGCCCTTGTTTCAGCGATCGCTTCGTCTTCAGATCAGGAGACGTCATCCCCGACGTGGAACTGGTGGCCTGTCATCCTCGCATGCCTGCTGCTCAGTGAAGATATTAAAATAAATTTGATGCTTAGTCGCTCAAAAGCTCAATGGGGGAAAATTCGTGATATGCGCTAGAACACAGAGCGTTGAAAACACATTTGATGC